AGAGAGGTAGAGGGAGAGAGAGAGAGAGAGAAGGAGGAAAGACGAGACGAGACGAGGAGAGTCTATTTTCAAATAGAAACTGTATTATCGTCGAGGGACTAAAGCTAGAAGGTCGCGGCCACGGGGGAAACACAACACGGGAGATGTGTGTTCACCCTTGACGCTGTCTCCGTGAGGACGCGGCTTGTTTACTTTTAGCACCGGGTATACCTTTAGCCGATTTGTATACGTGGTGGCGCGTGCCGGCGTTACACCACGCTAGTCGAACGTATCAGACGTACGTTCTCATCGGTACGGTCCGAATCCTTGTGTTCCGGTTGTGAAATGCGTTGGAAACGGGACGACGCTGTCGAGCACGCGGTGAACATCATTTAGGGGATACCGGGTTATCCCTTTGTATTAAGAGTTAGGACGATTTAGGAGCGGTCTTAAAGACCCCGTAGGGCTGTGCGACGGAAGTGAACCCAGTGACGTCATCGGGCCGACCTAGCACCCCGGGACCGTTTACGATTTCTCGAGTACGACTCGGCCGGGTCAGTGGTTCTTTTATTCCTAGAGGGGATAGATTCGTCGGAGTGACTTTGTCGGGGGTTGGTTCAGTGAAGTATGTATCCGTGGTACCGGGACAGCGTCGCGGCGGCGGCGGCCGCGGGACTCGGGGGCCCCGTCGGAGTCGTTGGTTCCGGGTTCTGCTCCACCGGACCAGGACAAGCTGGCACCACCATCAAGACCGAGAGCGGATATTCGGATTGCATGCTGGCCCTCGACTACGTGCAGAGTAAGGTGAGTCAGGAGAAACCACGCTTTTTTCGCCGCATTTTTCTCTAGGCCCGCTCTTTCGGGGGCCAAAGGCTTGGACCTGAGGGCTGGGGATCGGGATCGCTCTGGGCTGTTGGGTAGCCGGTGCCTTCACTTGTTTAGGGGGAGGGGTTGGAAATGTTTGGGAATTGAGGGATATGTTATGCACTTTAAGTTTAGATTGTTTATATTTTAATTGTAATGGTAATTATCATTTAGTAGTCGTGTTGGGTTCTGGACTCTTGAGATTGGAGACTTAGAGGATATTGGTTGATTTTGGTTGAGATTGAAAGTGTAACGATGCCTTCACTTGTTTAGAGGGGGAGGAATTGAGAATGTCTAGGAATTGAAGAATACGCGATGCACTTTAAGTTTAGGTTGTTTAAATGTTAATTGTAATGTTCATTATTATTTAGTAGTTATATCGGCTTCTCTGTTGAGATTGGAGACTTTAGAGTTGGAGGATGTTGATAAATTTTTGTTAAGATGGAAATTGTAACAATGCCTTCATTTGTTTAGAAGGCGAAGGATTGAGAATGTTTAGGAATTGAAGAATAAGTGGTGTATTTTAAGTTTAGATTGTTTATATTTTAATTATAATGTTAATTATAATATATAATTGTAGTTTAGTAGCCGTGTTGGGTTCTGGACTCTTGAGATTTAGGACTTCACAGTTAGAGGATATTGGTAGATTTTGGTTGAGATTGAAAGTGTAACGATGTTCGCGAGATGTGATGGTTGAAATTGTTTGCAATTGTAGAGAGGTAGAGACATAGGTTTCCGTGGAATGTAAATGTGTTGGGTAAAAAGATTGGGGTTCAAAGAAGAGGGTAAATTGTGGGATTAACGTTACTCTATAGATTGTAGAAATCATTTTTTCTTGTTTTAACATGTATCTTGCAAATAGTGATCTTTTTTAACGGAGCGATCCGTATCCGACGCTCGAAAGGTTTGCCGTTTATAAGCGGTCATGTATGACAGAAAATCAAAACTGCTGGGCTATTGGGTTTGTATTATGCAATGGTGGGTTTTGTACAAGATTATGAATGAAATGCCCCCTTTTTTGGTTTTCTCGTGGACGTAGTAATTCACGCGGTCCGTTTTTGCCGGCCATACTTTTGGAGCACGGTTTTTAGTGGCGCAAAGAAGTCACTTCACGCTTCTTCAGGCTGCTCCTCTTTTAAATATAGCCGTGGAAGCTAATACTGAATTATTAATCGATCAAACTGTCCGTTAATTATTCGTCCAATCTAATAACTTTAACGTTAAGGTTTGCTTCTTTAACGTCGGTTTCCAATTAAGGAAAGACTATATTTTACAGACTGCTAATAATAGCATTATCATTCGATCTATCACAGTATTATCAGCGACTATATTATCGCGAGTCTATAAATATTCTATCAGCTCAATCGAGGCGTGCGTTTCGCATCGCTCATTCATTTTAATTCGACTATGTTCCTTAGACTTCGTAGTTTTTAATAACACCCAACAGTATTCCTCGCGTTACATCGTTTCCAAATTGTATCACGATGTACGTAAAAAGGCAGACCGTTCGCCATCAAAACACGTCTGTTTATCTGCTGTCCACCATTTTTTTCTTTAACCTTTGCTAGACACTGATCCGACAGCCTTTCGTCGATCGTTTCAAAACAGCTTCGTTCTAGCCGCGAATAAACCCGTCTAGGTTTCGAGTTTTTCCTGGAAACTCCCGCGTTTAGAGAGAGAAAAAAAAGAGACTATACTCTCCGATTCCAGTTGTGTCGCGGCGGAAACCGCGTCTCATTTTTCTCGCTATTCGTCAACGCGACGTTGTTTCTCGGTAGCGAATCCTCATACCAAAGCGCTGACATAATTGCGGAGAAACGAAGGGCAGCGGCAAGTCGCGATACACATTTTTATGAAAAAGGAAAATCCTTTCGTCGACGAAGCTGGCTAGAAAGTTTTCCACTAGTCCGTCAGCCTTGACACAAGCTGTTCCATTAAATATTACTCATTCGTAGAAAACTAATCTCTCGAATACAATGTTCATCTCATAAAGTGCCTCGCAACGTTTAGTAATTTAAATTTCTTGCCAGGAACAATTTGTAAAAGACAGAGGGTCTCGTTCTGGGTATAGAAACATCGGTGTTCTATGATTAACGAGAACGATACCGTAAGAAACACTTTTACCCCGGTCATCGTAGAAGATCGCCCTTAGTAAATCAAACATAATTAGAAAACCGATGAGCATTTTCTTAATTGGAGTACGAAGTCGCCGTTAAATCACCGAGCCAGCTTACCGAGACGTTCGTTGATTAATCGCGGACTGTAGGTGCATCCCCGAAGAAACCGAGTTGCATTTCTGCGTTTCATCGGCGCACCGTCACGAAATTTATTCGAGCGACGACTGATTTGATTAATCGGTTCGATTTATATTGAACGAGGTAGAGATCGTATCCTGCGGATTAGCATGAGACGCCGACTTTTCATTAGGAACTGTTACGATTCCTTCGATGATTCCGGTGCTCGATCAATCTCGCTTCTGTTTCCATTTCTCGTCGCACCGTGAGAAAAAGAAACGAAAAACACGCGGAGCAAAACGGACTCTCGGTCGATCCTTTTTGTGCCGTTCGTCTTGCTCGCGAATTATGCTCGCGGAGACAATAACGGCGTTATGCGTCTCCGAAGACGAAGATTAATATCGAGATTATCACGCGTTAGCAGCGAACCTGCCGCGTCGGAAGTTAATCGCCGGACATTCATCGCGTTGAACGGAGTTCCGCGTGTTATTTGCATCTCCACCGGGGATGAATTATCGCGGCGTTTCAGTAATGAATGTCTGACAATACAGGAACTGGACGGGGATAGCGTGAAATGCGGTTCGATTAACGTTGATAGAGTGCCCCTTCGCTTCGTTGTCCCTCGATCCGCTCGTCTCTTCAATTAGAAGGCACTCCCTGTTAGAAGACTTCACTTCTTTAAGATTCTAATTAATTAATTCACTCCTTCACTTACGAGAAAAGACCGTGTTCCTTTGGATATAAAGCGTTAGGGATCTAACGAAGTCTAAACGGGACAAGAAGCGAACAACACGAATTCAGGATATAAGTAATAAGAAGATACCGAGGTAGAAATTATAATGATTCAAACGGAACTCGATGTAACAATACCCAAGACGAATTACCCAAAGAATTGCCCCACGAATTTCTCCGTGAAGCAACTGCAATGCGGGAGCACGGAACCACAATGAACAGTCATGGACGTAACAGGACAGTTTCAAAATGCATCGTGGCAATCGTTTGAACAGAAAATACCGCGACGAAAGAATTTCCACCGTGAAAACCGCCGCGCAGTCGCCACAGTGTCTACCAATTATCCGAGCAACTTCCTCCTCTGCTCGATTCCGTGAAATTCACGAGAGGAAGGAAAGAAAGAGGGAATTCATTGGAAAAAAAAAGGAACGGTGGGAGTTCATTAGAAAAAAAAGAAAGGTGGGCGGGACGGTAACCGAGCATCGTTCACGGATGAGGTGGTGGTTCTATCCCCGCCGCGTTTGTATCGCGATCCGGCAACTTTGTAATTAATCGTTGCGCCGATCCGATCGCCGCGCTCCTTTTCTTTTTTCTCCCGGTCTCGATCGGCCCCTCTCGCCACGTGGCGAGAAAAACGGCCGGAATCGGCTCCGCGAGGCTCCGCGCTGCGCGGCGCGCAAGAAAATAATCCGAAGTGTCAACCTGTGAAAATGATTTGCTGGTAAAAAGTCGCGAATGCTTCGCGGGACGCGGCCGGGTCTCGCAGCGAGAGCGAGCGAGCGGGAACCTCTCGGAGAACGGTTTTTGAAACTAGCTGACCGAGCTAGAAAGCGGGGATTTTTTCGCGATTTTTTGCCGCGCTGGAATGTAACGGTGTCCGCCACGATCGTGGAAATCGATTGGCAGCGGATCGCCGATCTCTGCGCCACGGTTCTCCTCGGTCGATCGATAACGCGTTAACAGGCCAAACGGCAGCAGCAGCAGCGGCACGACGGCGTCGGCCTCGCCAGTGTTCCCCGCGCTTTTCGTTTCCCTCGTCGCGTTTTATTTATCGTTTCAATTTGTCGGCCGTTCGTGGCAAAAATCGCGGATCAATCGGTGTGAGAACCTGGACGCCGCGCGGAGGGAGAGAGAGAGAGAGAGAGAGAGAGTGAATCAAGGTGTGGCGTGACGAGAGATATCGCGTAATAGGTGTTCTCTGTCCTGTTCGTCGGCGGAAGGTTGTCCGAAGGCACTTTTATCTTAGCGCGAAATGATAATTAGCCGAGGCGTTAATGGCGGCGTAACGCGCGCGCGCGCGGTCTTTACCGGTTAACGACCACGATTAAACGTAACATCGACGACTTTGTGGCCACCGGCGATTAAGATCCCGTATCGATCATAATAATTTGCGGCAATTAGTCACCCAGATGGAAATAATCGCGGTGGATAGA